GTACGTCGGCTTTCCCGCCCTCTTTCTACCAAGGATGATTCTCCCTACCGTGAATACGTGGTCTACGCACCCCCTCTTCTTTCGGAAACCTGCCTGGCCCTCACTAATGCGATGTTCCTTCTCCAATACTCCCACTATCCTATCATTCAGCAGCTTACATCACACTTTTCCTACTGTGTTCAACAATGTGATCCCCCTGTAGTTTCCTGGGTCAGTCTTGTCTCCTTTCTTAAACGAGTTGGCAACAACTCCTTCCCTCCATCTTCTTGGCGTATACTCGATTTTCCACACACAATTGTATATTGACCGAGGGGGGGAGGGGGCGTAGCGCGTTGTACAGATAAGAGTGTAAGAACACTTTTTTTGCAGCCATCACTTGACCACTCTCAACAGGGGGATGCGTCGTGTTGTGCTTGGTGGGTATAGGGTTGGGTTGGATACGAGAGTGCGTGTTTGAGCCTATGGGTGATAGGGCCGAACTGAAAGCACGTGCTTATTCCAGCTGTAGACGCTGCAACAGCAAAGATAGGTGTTTCCTCGTTAACACTCTTTGCCGACAGGCCACGAACCCCGCCGGCATCTTGCGTATTGCGCGCCCAGTGTTGTGAAACTGCTATCCCGCTGCTCGCTGTGTCCTCTTGTCCTCTTGCGCCCTTGCGATGGCAAACGTCGCCCAACCCCACGCAAAGACGCCTAGAAACAAGCTCGTAAGGTCAGTGAGCTTGCTGGCAAATGGGACAGGCTTGTGCACGATTCTTCGACGTGCAACTCGTACGAAATTCTCGGCACCAACGGGACAACAACCCCTCGCTTGTTGTTTTTCGAGTCCCGTGTGCCATGTGGTGGGTAGGCAGTAGGCAGGTTTCTTGTCCAAGGAAGCGTGTTCCTCCGGTGTAGTTACGCCATGAATAGTAATGCGGCATCGCTGGATACGGGAAACGAAATTAACCACGCAGCAGGTGTGCAAATCCGACCCCAAATCGACACGACGTTTCACGAAGCCGAGAAGCATTCACTGCGGTGTCTTTTATCGCAGAATCAGGTAGTCCCCTAACCCCCCCCCCCGTCATTTCGATTGTACTATGCTACGGATGGGGGTAGCATCCTCTCCTTCAGCCTGAGGTTTTCCGAACAATTCCGAACACATCTCGCCAGCGCAACAGCAGGTAGGAAGCACCTACCAGGGGGACGTTTCTGCACACGCTCAAACTTCGACGCAAGTCACAAAATATTCTTGAGCACAGGCAGCGCGCACCAACAGCTACATAGGCCTTCCATTCGGTGAAGTCTCCCCGCACATCATGCGCAAGGGTGTACACGGCAACCCTGTCCCTCAATGCGACCCAGTGGTCTGGCACGTGCTTCCATCGTACCACACTGCTGTAACACTCCCCACTCTCACTTTTGTGTCAAGCACGATGAACGAACAAGTACGGAAAACGGAAAAACTTCCGTCTACCTGGACTGCCCTCCTCCCCCCTCTCTCTTCTCGCTTCAAGGTGCACGCGGATCTCAACCCCTGCGTTTATCTCTGTCTCCAGCCGGTACCTCTCTCCCTTGCCTATTGCTGCTCGGAGGAGGAGGCCTATTCTCCAGCAGGAGGAGGTCAAGAGCCAGAGTTGACCAAATGATGAACAAAACATACATACCACGGCATGCGGCCTGTTCCCGCGAGATTTTTCCTGGCCAACCCCCGTTGTGGTCTTTCACTCTTTTACCTGTATACTCGCCACTACTCCTTGAAGCGGTAGAAGGTGAGGTACGCCATGTGCCAGTCGCCGCCGCCCTTGAGGTTCATGATGTCCTCCGTCTTGCAGGGGGACACGTCCGAGTCGTCGAAGACCAGCCAGTCGTCTCCCTCTTGCCGCACCCACCCCATGTAGTGACCTGCCCCCCAAGACACACGCCCACGCGCATGCACGCGTTTTGTTAACCCGGTGGTACGGAGTATGAAACACGGGTGGTGTCTTCGATTTGTCGCCGATGAGCGCCGTCGATGCAAACAAGATACACGCAAACGGTTTTAGCCGATTGACATATTTTCACTGGCCAGGCGGTCAGCGCAGTCGACGCTAGACGCAAAAACAAACAAAAAAATGTGCAGCAACGTTTGAAGACACTGCCAGCAGCGCAAAGACACACGTAATAACAGTTGAATAGCGAGCACATGAGTGAGTGAGTGAGTGAGTGAGTCACATCGGTGTGTGATGAAACAAGACAAAAACTCAGAGCACACGAGAACCTTAGTCAAGCCAACAGGGTACCTCTCATTCTCGACACAAGCACAGCTTTCGGCTCCCGAATCTTGGAGTGGGTGGCGTTTGACCTTTTCCACGTAACCACCAACAGGCACCAACCACGACCAGCCTCTGACGTCCGCCTTACCTGCTTCATGCCAGCGTCTTCGCTGGCATGCCAGCGTCTCACACTCATCCCTACAATTCTCCGGCTTCCGACACACCACAATGCATGCCACAGACAACACGACAACTTGTTCCCCCTCCCTCACCTCCGTCCGCCTCCCTGCCCTTGTGGGTCACCACGGCGAAGAGCTCGTAGGTACCCTTGAAGTCCGCCGGGAGTCCCGGTCCGGCGGCCCCCTCCACACCCGCGTTCTCCGCCTGCAATGACATCGCCAACGCGGCCTTGAGATCGTCGCTTAGCTCCTCGTCCTCCCCCTCCGCGGGTGCCGCCGCCTTCGCCGCTGGTGCTGCTGGTGCTGCTGGTGCTGCTGGTGGCTCGGCGCTGTCAACTTCCATATCCTTGCTGGGATTCCGGGAAGATGACGGACGGACGGACGGACGGGGGGGGTGACGCAGGGACAAAAGTTGGGTAACACACACTTGGTAGGGGTGACGGGAAAACAAATGAAAGCGTAAATAATGATAAAAACCAAGTGGACACAGTCGGGCGCACATACGCTGCTTTCGCCCGGGGAGGTTGTTAGCTCGAAACGCTCTTTCTATCGACATCGGCAGTATGCCTGCGCATGCACCCCGTGAGAATCTTTTGAGGTACCCTCAAAATGCGTAGATGTTCAAGGTCGCGCAACAAATCCCGACGTCATACGTACGGATACCAGAGAGGCCTGGTTAGCGAGCACGAAGACAGAAACTAACCTGCCCGTTGACCAAGCACAGCGGACAGCAGTGAACCTTTGTCGCGTTGCAGGTGGTGGCATCTCTGTGACCACCACAAACTTTTTCATTTCTGTGCGACCTCAGATTGAAGCTCGTCAGGAGAGCAACCAGCCAACAAGACGGCTACGGCACTGTGACAACAACGGCGACAGACGATGCGGCAACAACGGCAACAGACGATGGGGCGATTACAACAACCAAAACAGCCCGCCAGCTTCGCCCCAACTCTCTTTGACACCTGCCAACCCCGACCCCCCCGCCTTGCGGCTACCATGCAATACGAAACCATCGGGCAGCGATTTATCGTTGCATCAGCTACCATTTCGATTGCTGCGACTGTAGCCACGGCTGTGTGATGCCCCCTGTACGTGCGGGCTCTCCCCCAAACGGCTCACCTCTCCTGGACTCCCGATGCTGGCGACTTTTCCGCCTCGGACGCAGGCGGTGCGGGGGGCTTCGCCGTGCTACTGCTGCTGCTGCCGCCGCCGCCGCCGCTAAGGTGTGCGAAGACCTTACCCTTTCTGGCCTTTTCCTTCTCGGCTCTCTCCTCGGCAATCTTTGCCTCCTTCGCGGCCTTTTCCTTGGCTTCTTGTTCGAAGATGAGCTTGTCCGCGGCGTCGCGGGGCACCTTCAATTGACAACATGAGGGAGAAACATGGATTTGTGGGCGTTTGTGAACCGAAACTCGTTATTTTTATCAACACCCAAACAGCGAGGACAGGGATGCGGTCATGTTCATAATCTCTACTGTTGATGTGTGTCTGAACCGGTAGGAAAATGTGTACTAACTTCACAGTGAGCGTGAAATCGCTGACCTTCAAAGTGCAGATCCATCAAAAAGAAAACAAGACACGAAAAATAACCACAGCTCTACATTCGCAAGCGCGCAAAAAACTAGGGTAAAACAACAACACAAGACACAGTTGAGGGAACAAAACAAACCAAAACAAACATAACATAACAGATGAAAACTCGACCGGCGATGGTTGAAAACAAAGCCTGTTTCCCGCGGAAGACTATCACGGCAAGCTCGATGACCCGATCGCTGCCACTCTTCGAAGGGGACCGCTGCAAGGAACACCGCCATAGAAGCTTGGACAAGAAAATTGGGCCGAAATCTTGCAACACGACGTGTTGTCCACACAGCATTCAGATAGATGGAGCACCGTTTATATTCCGGACGCAGGGGAGTGAAGCGGCACTATAGTCAAACGCACGGCCAAGATGCAAGCAATAACATCGTAGATGCCTGCTCCCCTTCCCCTTCAGCGTCCACTTCACTACTTCACCTTGAGGATGGACTGAAGAGATGGCGAGCAGAACTCAAACATGTCCAGCGTGGAAGGGAACGTAACCTGACAACGACAACATCGACACGCCAGAAAAAAGCGAGACGCCCGGGAAAAAGGGGCAGCGGGCGGGCCAGCGGGCGGGCCAGTGGCACCAAGCAATGAGCCAACCGTGTGACAAAAAAAAACGACAAGGCAAAGGACGGCGAATCGACGCCAACGGGGACACCCGCAACCAGCCTTCCCTCTGAGGACAAGAAGTGTGATTCTGATCCGAGGTGAAACACTTTTTTAGGGCACTAGCGCACAACAACAGCAGTCAAGCCGAAAGAGTGGAGAAAGCGCGAAGATGGATCATGGAGGCGTTCGGAGGGGCTTAAGGCGGTGTAGCACGAGTGGAGATTCTGTCAATGAGGAACTCAGAGGATGCCACCGGGTCAAAGCACATGGCCGTGTCTTGTGGAAGGCTTTTCCCCCGCAACTCGTCCTAGATTTCGAGTGCATTCCTCTGTGCTGCGTACGACTTGGGCGGCAAAACCCTCACTACAACCCCCGGAGGAGGGGGGGGGTCACCATCAAAGTAGGTATGCTTGCCACAGGGCATTCATGGACAAGCTCAATTAAAAGGACGGCCAGAGTGCTGCAGCGGACGTGCAGCAGCAGCTACCCTCACACCAAATAGCTGACACAGTAGGGTCTACCGCCTGCTGCCACTCACTGGCCGCATGATCTTGCACTTCACTCCCTGGTGGTCCATGCTGTCCGGGGTAGCCTTCCAGAAAAAGCGGAGAACCTAAAAAGACAAAAAAACAAAAAACAAGAGCTCATCAAACACCACGACGAGTGATCGGGTGAAATACAACGGCGGTTGTTTGTGGAGACGCGCGGCTCTGCCTACGGGGGACACAAGCATGATCCCAAAACAATTCTCCGTATTTCTCTGCATCAGGACTACGACCACCATGCTTGAATCCGTTGCGCCGTGGGCGGGGGGGCATCTACTTCAGGGGGCGACGCACGTTCGGCGAAGGCTGTGCCAACAAGTGCCGGGGTTTTTCGGTATCGACCCAGACGAGCCATAAAACAGACACCACCAACAGAGTGCTTGTGCCGGGTGATATCGAATCTCCTGAGCCCGCCACCAAAAGGCTTTCCTGCTTTTCACACCGCAAGTTCGTCCTAGAAGTTACACACTTTTTCCAACGCCAACGAAACACGATACAGAACCGTGGGTTCCTGCTAGTAGAAGAGCTTGCATCGCTATGTAAAGAATGATGTGTCATGGGTCGTCAGCCGAACCGCGCCGTTGATGCCTATCAAGCACACAACACACACATCCAACATGAAGCACACGCTGCTGCCGCACGCGTTTCCCTTTCATTTCACCTGGATGCACAGGTAGCGCGGCAGGCGTTTGATCTTGCTGTTGAGGGTGAACACCGCGTCTCTCCCAAGCTTGTCCGAATGCTTCTCCACCTTATCCGAGAGGCCCACCTTCATCCCGTCCGCTAGATGGTTGATCTGCAGAAAGAAAAGAACAAAAGCAAAAAGCGTTGTCACTCAAATGAAGTATTGCAACATTCTGCCCAGATACAAATGTCCACTCCAGCCAGTCGTTCCCTCAGGTGTTACTATTAATAAGGTTTTGTCACTCCATTTAGTACTATTTAGCATCGCGCCCAAGACAATCCTCGATTCCAGCCGTCTTCACACGATACCGCTGCTGCTGCTGTTGCTGCTGCAAGGGCTCCACTTTTTGTTTTCTACCTTTGTTCTAGGCTGACGGGTGACTGTAGTCGTTCTTCACCAGTACTGCCGTAGGCTTGATATTTACCATTACAATATTCCCTTCTCTTCGTATGTGTTTTGCACGTTTTCGAGATAATCTAACGTGATGTGGTGTAATGTGATGGGGACGTCGACGAAACGGCTGCTGTTGGGCAATTATTGATTTTCGCAAAACACCCAGCCCTTCTACTTCCTTCCCTGAGCGCCTTCTTCTATTTATCACTACTGTACCCTTTGAGTGCGATCGCGGACGGTCGCGCCTATGCCCACATAGCCACTCCTCTTTCTGGGTCTCGTTGCAAATCTTGGTCTAAACAGGTACACTACCTCTCTCTCTTGCCCTCCCGTTTCCTGCCCCCCCCCCCCCCCCCCCCCCCCCCCCCCCCCCCCCCCCCCCCCCC